AATATTCTTCGTCCAGATTGACTTTTAACCATAATATGAGAATATCCCACACTATCAGATCGATTTCAGCTGTGAATTCAAACGGGAACACTTGTATCCTGATAAAGGGACGAATATTTACAACTGCATTTATAGATGTCCCGATACCCTTATTTCTTCCTTTACACTAAAGATAACATCCATTTTGCAATCAGAAGATTTATGAACAAGACCTTAGTATAGGCTGGCAACGGTAACATGGAGATAGTGATATTTACATTCCTATGAAAACACTGAAGCAACACCTGAGAAGCCTTTTCTGGATCCAGCCTAAACTATTATTATTTCATAAAGATTCTGACAAAATTCGGTATCATGTAAAGTAAATCAGAGAAAGGTTCGGGACATATTCTTCACTTACATTGGTGCATATCACTTTTCCATCGTTTGTCTGACATCAGTGAAAAGGATTAGCGGCAATCCTTTCGATTTCAGACGAAATCAACTTCGTCAAAAATGCAGATGACCTGACCGTTTCGCTTCCCGTCAAGTTTCAGTCAGACTGTTTCAAATTAAATAGCTTCCTATCGGACATCAGTCAGTGGTCTGAACTAAATGGTCTCATGCTGAATCCCTCAAAATGCCAGACTACTGACTTCTCCTTTAGGCACAAACGAGATCTATAAACACTGGTAATTACTCATGAAGCCTGTTGCATTGAGGGGACTAAAATTGAAACTAAAACTAATGCGAAATACCTCGGTCTACTTCTATCTTCCAACCTTACTTGGTCATCTCATATCCTAACGATTTCTAAGAAAGTGTTCTGTCTAACCTACTACATTAAGAAACTTAGAGAATCTGGAATCACCCAACCTCGACTTTCACAATTTGTCAACTCTTGTATCTTACCTATTCTACTTTACTGCTCCCCGTTAGTCCATCCTGGTCTACTGAAAAAGGACTATTCCATCCTGAGAAGGATGTTGAAGGCAGTTAGTAGGACTATTGGTGTAAAACTCAGTCAGCTCGTCACTACATTAGTTGAAAGGCATCTGAATACATGCGAAAAATGGTTAAAAACCATACTCTCCAACCCCCAACACCCCCTCTATTCCCAGCTCTCTTCTTGTATCTCATCAAGTAGAACCAGAAATCAGTATAAAATAATCTATGCTTGTACAACCAAGTACAGGAACTCAACGATACCATATTTGGTCCGTGTTCTAAGTGACAGAGACAATGTTAAGCGCGAAACCTATGACTTGCTTTGTTGTTGATAACATAATTTTAGGCTCTTTTATTTCTCTCTTATTTGTATTCTATAGTGAACTCCTTCTTAAACATACTTAGCTACCTAAATTATTTACATAGGCTTACTTTTTGTACTTTACTCTATTCCTTCTTTTGTGTATCCACTGGTTCCGACTATAGTGGCACTATAAATAGTAAAATATTGTCCTGTCATTAACCATCATGTAATTATTAGTTTTATGGTATTTTTTGTTCGGCAATATTAACTGACAATCATTGGTTGTGAACGCCATTATGACCATCTTAAAATTTTGTATTATGCAGGATTACTCACACTACCACTACAGACACTGCATTAGACCTGACAATAAAAAACAAAACAACAACCCTGAAATGTTATTTTATGATTGTTTAGAGTTGTTTCAATCAAATTAACTGACCAACTTGACGATAAACATTCTTAAATATCATTTCATAACTTCTTGTATGACTATAGCTTTACTGTCACCACACTTAAACATATCATAGCTTCCACTACCCAATACTGAAATATTATTTATTATGTTTGTTTATTTTCCTGTCTACTTCTTGGTATTTTTTCGCATTTTTTTTATTATTTCGTGTTTTTTTTGTTATTGTTTTTATATTTATTTTTTGAAATACTCCTTTAAAATGTTTGATAAAATTAGATGCAAATATTGTAGATATGTGCTGAAAATTCCACACTGTACCACTAGTACTGTTTCTAGAATAAAGCAAAATTATTATTAATATAATAATTTTCCTTAAGGTTACATAAACCTTTGGAGTAAGAAAACCACGTCTTGCTTGACCTTACAGTGAACTAAATGCTTACTAGGAACTTGTTACCCGTCAGTGTTATGAATTTATTCCTATAATGTGGGATGATCTGGCTTAAATTTATTCCTAATGACGATGGAGGAGTTGTTCCTTGTATACATCAAAACACGCCTGTGGGAAATGTTTCTGTGTTTCAAAATGTTTTAATATTACTGACATGTCGTCTTCTATTGTGTCTGTGGCCTGTATTTAAAATTTCTGTCATTAATTGTAGCAACCTGAACTAGTGCATAATGAAACCGAATCACAAGTTATTGACGTATGCTTTAACAATATTATTCCTGTCCGCCTTTTTGTTGAGTTCTATGAAGTTCCATACTTTAAAACAGCAACTGGTCGGTAGGGGCTTTGCCTTCGTTAATGAACCAACTTACTTATTAGCCTTTGAGATGTACCAACACATAAAAGACTACATACAAGAGAAATTTAATTCTCTTCTTAGATAGTTCTCATCCAACAGCTGTACGACAATGCTACGTGCCAAGTAATCCACAACGGGAAACTTACGGAATCCTTCGAAGTGAGGACAGGAGTAAGACAAGCTGGCTGACAACTATCGCCAATGATTTTCCTGATTGTAGTAGATAAGATAATGCGACAAACAGCGGGAAATGAGGAAACAGGCATAAAACGGACTCACACAAAACACTTGGAGGATCTGGACTTCGCTGATGATATATGTCTGATTTCCCACAAACTGGAAGATATGCAAGCGACAAGCAACAAGTTGGCAGAAGAAGCATCCAGAGAAGATAGGACTTCAGGTGAACACAGAGAAAACAGAGGTGATGAAGATTCCTGGACAAGAACAACAGCAACAGACAACAATCAGCATAAGTCGGAGGAACCTGAAAGAAACAACCTCCTTCACCTACCTACCTACTTGGGAAGCATCGTTTCAACTACAGGCCAGCGGAACTGACGAGGATGTCAAAGCAAGAATCGGAAAAGTAAGACAAGCTTTCACTACTCTCAAGTCTGTGCGGAGGTCAACAACACTCAGCATCAAAAATAAGATCCGGATTTTCAACTCCAATGTGAAGTCAATCAGTGCTACTATCCGGATCACAGACTTGCACTACGCGTCATAAAGAGCATCTCAAACAAACTACAGACCTTCATCATAGACAGTACTCAAGATCAGATGGTTGGCCAGAAAAGATAAGCAACAGAGATCTCTGGCAATGAGCGAACCAACCATGAACCGATTGTGAAACAAATAGGTGGGAAGAAATATAGATGGATTGGCTGGCCATACTCTGAGGAAACCATCAAGTGACATCACTAGACAAGCCATTGCTCGAGTGGAACCCGAAAGGGAAGCGGCGAGTTGGTCGTCAGTGCGAGGGTGACTTGGAGGAGGTTATGTGAAGAGGAGATGAAAACGTGTGGGCAGACTTGGAGTCAGGTGAAGACTCTAGCAGAGAACCGAACGCAATGGAGACGCATGGCTGAAGCCGTATGGTCCTCTAGGAATTAAATGAAACAATAATAATAATTAGATAGATAACATTTCGCTGCATATTTCATAACGAACCAACATCATCTAGCGATCACTGAAAACCAGCCAGGATCACTTAACACTTGTCTCTCCCTAGGTCAAGACTTTTCAGCACCGCGAACCCAAAGTCCTCTCAGTACAGGACTGTCATGTTACGACACCGAGCTCGCTGATCATTCAGCCACTTAGAATGGAATTCAACGACCTGTGAATTCTGAATTTGTCAATTCGTGATACAGAGACGCCCTCAACTATGTCTTCAACGAGTAGCCACTTCGCCTTAACACGGTGAATCCCACTGGTCACTACCTTTCAGTGCAGCTTCACGATCTCCATTCAGTAGCTATCAACAAGCTCTCGATCAATATGTTACTTATGGGTCTTTGTAGGGATATGGACTAATACCAGTTTAGATTTCATCACGAATCAGAATCATTTGGAAAGATCATTGAGAACCATGCAGAACTGGAGAGTTATTTCGTCCTTTTTTGGGACTCATGAAAAGTGAGAACCCCAGATCCCGACAAGGGTCAAACTCACAGCCTTCAGGTTACGAGACCAAACTCATTGACAATTCAGCTGCTTGGGCTGGATTCCAACGACCCCTGAATTCTAACTTCGTCAACTCGTGGTATAGGAATGCCCTCATTAGTGCCTCCGATGTGTATCCACTTCACTTAGACAAATCCTATAATTTAAATATCAGTTTCCAGCTCACTGCTGGATGCTGGGTGCATTCTCTGAAGCTGCAGTGGAAATTATTGCCCACTTTGGTCCACCACATCAAAGTGAATTGGTTGCCCATCGATGGTTTTGGTTGAGAATAGTGCCATTTCATGAGTCGGGTCAATCACCCCCAGCTCAAGTAGGTCTCGTAACCTGAGGGTACTGGATTCGATCTCTAAATGAGTCAAAATTGTGCACTCCCGAAGAGGTCCCAAAAAATAAAACGAAACAGCTATCCAGTGCTTCGTGTTGGTTTTCAATGATCTCTCCAACTCAAAACTGGTTCCTCATTGAAATTCATCTCTATGTCCCTTCGAAAAATAGATAACAACATTGTCAGCCTAATACTGCATCAGGCTGATACCAATTTACTATATATATTCACCTTTTCGCAGTCTTCTTGATTCATACTTGAATGTTTTTTTCAAAACACGTATATTTCAGATAATATTCCTTTTATTTAGTACGCATACATCAGCCGCTTAAGATGATTGAGGTAAATCTACACAGATTTTTGAAATGTAGTCACCTAGTTATAGACAAAAACACTCTCATCATAAGCACTGTAAATGCATTCATTAAAATATGTTCATACATGCTGTATGTCTTCAACTCATTATCGTCAGTGTTTTTCTTAATATAACTAAATAGTATACAAAATCCGTCCGAAATTTATGTTTTACTGTCCAATACCGTTAGGGCGTGTAACATTTGTTGTCTTCTGACAGTTAGGCATATCCATACATGTTATGTACATATTCTGCGAATACAGTTCTGATGAACTAATAGTGTCATTTTGTTGTATGTTATCATTTAACTGGACTTGCCTTCTAGATGAATTTATGATTACATCACGATTATGATTAGGAATAATAGAGGCTGTTGCATAGGGTGTCACTACAGGTGTATATCCATGTTCATTACAATAGTCCCCATTGACTGCTGTAAGTGGTGTTGGCGGTGTTAGAAGAGGACCTGGAGATTCATTGAAATGTTGCCTATTTGGCAGCTGTTCCAGATAAATTGCTGAATCGAATGGTTCTGAGCTAGTTTGAGAAGCTGAGGTAAAGTGTGATGAATTTGTTTGTACAAGGTCTTGTGTGTCGTTGACGAAAAAACCGCTATTCGTTTGTGTATGTGGATTTAAACGCCTAGTGAATGTGTGATATGCCTGAGATATATTTTGGTTGTTATTTGCAGGATTCGATGCTATATTATGGCTTGTAGGAAATCTACCAGACTTTAATTGGGATTTAGATGCGCTGATTCGAGGTTCATTAGAATATTGAAAACACTGAAGACCACAGCCGTTCAATGAACTGCCATTGGAAATATTCTCTGATGACTGTCTGATAGGCAGGTATGAAATATGAGGTTGCATTTTCATGTCCAGCGTCTGATCCCCAGAACTTACACTTATCGTCAAAGAACCATTGCCCATCTGATTATTTAAATATCCGTTGGGCTGTATTGCACTACCCTTTGTTATTTCATCCATGCTATTCACCTTCGACTTACAATCTTTGTTTTTTGAAGGTGATTCATGTTGGAAATTAGACTGTGATATTTGATATGTAAGGCGCTTCTTACAAAATTTATAACGACGTATCCAACAGAGAACACATAACCCAAATATAATGCACCAGGCTAGAAGACTGCTAACAACAGCACTAATGAACCAAGGTTGATTGATTAGTTGTTCATCTTTAATTGAATATTCTGTTAAGAGTGAAACTGGTGGTTTCCTCAGGTCTTCAGTAGTCCTGCCTGTTGACAATTCTCTGTTCTTCTGTAAATTAATACCTTGAATTGTATCGATTTTTAGCAAGTCACTTCTGATGCCAATACCCATACATGTGTAAGCAGCTATCTGAATACTGAATGATTTCGGTAGTGAATTTAAACTAATCGCTACCTTTCTACTGCCGGAGGTCACATTTACACTGTGGTATGTTTTCAAGACTTCGTCATGAATGTAAACAATGTATCCAAGAATAATACCATTCCAGTCGGACACACGTGGTGCTGTCCATCCTAACTCTAAACTTTCACTGAATAACCAACCGGCGAATATATTTCTCGGTGGAGACATTGGACTTGTTTCATAGGTGAGTGCTGTATGTGTAAATATATCACTAGTTTCTAAGTAGTTCACGGATATTTTGCCACTAAATGCTTTGATTCCAACTTCATAACAGCGAAAAGGTCTAAGTTCTGTTAATAATGAAGTAATCTTGTGATTTATACGTTGTGAATGCTTATCTAGCTCACTTTTCACATAATTTGCATCGATAGTGACGGTTGAAATAACTCCTGGCAAAGAAGTAACAGAATCTGTAGTATTACTTTCTTGTTCTTCTTGATAGATTTGTCTCATCAACTCCAAGCGTTTATAGACTTCACTGACACCTGCAGACTTGTGGTAGTTTTCAGGATTTAAGCTACAATAATTACTGATGAAGTTCTTATCACTTAGGCTGGCTGGTGAATACTTGTCATTCAGACATCTTGCATGTTCTACACTGCGATAGTAGATGATGTATCCACTTATCCTTGATAAGACCGCAGCTTCTTCATACACATTCCAACTGACATGAATGCTTTTAGGCGACAAGACCGTCAGCTGGACATTTTTTAATTCCACAGGTTTTGCAATAAACTCGTCAATCTTATAATTATCACTTTTTGAACTGTTCTCAGCATAATTGTTTGATGTTTCCGTATACAAAGGTCCAAATGGATCACTTGCCCAGCCTACACGACCTTGACCTAACTTAGCACGAATTATAATATAATAAGGAATGTTAGCACTAAGACCATTTAAGGTAATCAAATTAACCGGCCAACTACGTTCAATTACAATCCATCCGTCATTGGGTCGATCAGGTGTATACAGTTCAATCCAATAATTCATGGGTAGAATAGATCTACTATGACTTCCAGTAGCATACAAAAATGGAGGATTCCAGGTTAATGTAACACTTTGTTCTGTTGTATTCATTACTTGAAGATTATTTGGAGCAGAAAGAGGATATTCTTGAAGGTAATCTGAAATGCCTTCTTTAGGTTTAGAAAATAATACAGTCAAATGGATTGTAGCATCATTTGCAATATTTGTATCATCTTTGACTAGACAGGTGTACACACCAGAATCATTAATCTGTAAATCATTTATTTGTAAGCTTCCACTCTGAAGAATTTTAAATCTCGAACTGTTCCCGTGAATAACTCCACTAGCAAGCTGATTTATGTTAGGGTTCGATGGTAAAGAACGTTTCCAGCTTACTTCCCATTGTTCGGTTGATTGAAGACTAAATGTATCCAGGCTATCCTGACCAAGATGTTCACCATCTTTCAGTTTATGCGGATAAACTATTTTAACAAAACGCGGTATTTCACAGTCAATCAGAACAGACTCTCCAACTACCTGAGTTTTATTTGATGGAGGTAATCCAATATACGGGGGAACATATCTTACTGCTTTCGGTGCGCTAGACGATGTCTCCTTCGATTTAGCTTCTCTTGACTTGTTAGTACTTTGGCTATAATTTAAAGATGGCATGGTTGTGGTTTTCTTTTTACGCTTAACTCTTAACACTGCACTCGTCTGGACCATATCAACTGAGGAATGTGCAATGCAGTGATATTTACCAGCATCTTGTAATGTAATCGAATTTATTTCCAGTGTTCCATTATTATAAACTTTATACTTACTTGATGTTTGTTTTTCTAGCGAATTGTCTGATGGGAAAATAGGACTTTTGTCCGGCAGCTCCCAGTATATACTCGGCTTAGGAATTCCATCCACTGAACAGAGAAAAACAGCCTTGTCGCCTACATTTAAATTCAAATCGCTTGGTGATTTCAGGAATATTGGTGGGGTTTCAACTGTTAAGCGTATCTCGGCTTCATCTCCATCTTGTGTTGTGCAGATATAAACATCAGAGTCAGTATATGTTGCGTGATGGATGATTAGATAAGCTCTTCTCTGTTCAATTCTATCTGAAGCAATCACAGACTGCTTTGATTTCCGTCTCCATTTTATCGGCTTATCAGTAATGATGGATGGACAAACCAACTTAACTTGCTCACCTTGTCTTGCTCGAATGTGTTTTGCTCCTCTCTTAATATAATCACGTGATTTCACTTGTAAACGTGCAGAACGGGACAATCGTTGGCCAATCAAATTTGATGCTGCGCAAACATAATTTCCAGTGTCTTTAATACTTACTGGATGTATTCTAAGCTTCCCATCTGGCATTATTCGAATATTTGATAAATGAGAATTTTGTGATTTATTCGCCTCAATAATAGTTTGATTATCTTTAATCCAAAATATCGTAGGCTTTGGAAATCCCTGTGGAGGAGTACAGTCAAATGTTACACTGACTCCATGATCTGCTTCAATATCAGTCGGATTTAAAGGGAATTCAGAGTCCAGGTATGCCATGGCGCCTAGAACTGGTGGCCAACTTGTAACCCAACCGACAGAGTTTGTTGCATTACAATAAACAAAGTAAGATTTTCTTGGAGCTGGATTAGAAATCATCAAGTTGCCTAGGTGTTTATTCATATGTATACTTGTTTGATGACCAGATGTCTGCAACCTGTCTATCAAAGGCTCACCAGTACTTGCATTATACCAAATAATTAGAGGCGTTGGATTCCCTTGAGCTTTACAAGTGAATTCAAGAACGCTTTCAGTTGTGATGATATCATTTGGAGATTTTATAATAACTGGTTTCCTAAGCTCATCATTATCCTGTGTCTTTGAAATATCCAGTGGTAATGAGAATCTGATATTTACAATGAGATAAAAAATTAATGAGAATATCCTGTACATTGGTATATTACTGATATAACGCGTCTAACGGATACTTGACGAAGTAAGAGATGTAGTTTCACCCAAACGAATTAGAATCTAAAATAAAAGAGAAACACATAGATATTAACTTTGTACAGTATATTAGAGAAATATGAGTAATTATGAATAATGACAAAATCAAACGGCAATATTAGGGAATGGTTGACTAAGAGATGTCATCTACGAACACTCTTTCTGATGAAGAAATATGAACGATACCTTTATCTTATGTAAGGAAAAAATGAACCTTGAAGGGTTAAGGCTCACCCACAAATGCATTTCACATATGAGTCACAGAACGACAAATTTTTATAATTTTTTGACGTCTTGCTAACAAGAAAACTTAACGTGAATATTAGGTGGTATGGTTTTCATAATAATTTAACAGTTGGTCAGTATACCCATTTCATATCACTTGTTCCTCTTTTATAGAATAGAAATATCATCTTTTGTCCTATTGTGGTGACAGCTGGCTTCAAGTCAAAATTGTAGACAACAATTTACTTCAATGTATACGTCCCGAATCCGGGTCATGAGAAAAAAACAATAACAAGGCTTAACCTTGGGGAGTTCACCGATCAATCACAGCAGACTTAACGTGTGCAAATACGATTTGCAGATATATAGCCTGACTTTCTAAGAAACAGTCACAACGAGATAACATAATAACCTTCAGCAAGAAAACAACCAATCAGAAAATGGTGCTTCTCTGCTAACAATAATCCTAATAACAATGTACATAAAAATCTATAAATATCTCTTGATTTTCTCAATAAACGATCTTTTGGCTGGTCCTTATCTTCTGTCGTTAAAATATTTGTAAAATCTCAGAGAAATTGACATAAATAATCCCAAATTTCCGTTCGGCAAACTTTTCCGAACATCTTCAAGGATATTAATCAAAATAAAATAATAACGGTATATATATATATTAAAATCCTTGTCGACTGATGCCTGCTTTATGAATATGCATTAAAACAATAAACAAAATGCCATGAATTGTAAACTTTTGCATCAGACTTTAGAGGTTATTTCAATAAGATATTTAGAAGACACATTTCGTGAGATGATATCTTCATTTCGTAGTTTCTTTACTACCGCTTTACAACTGACATGGTTCACAATAATAATAAAATAAAATGCATGACAATTACTCAGTTATATGAAAAACAAAAGTACATACATACTAATAACTAATCATATTTAATTAGGTCAAGTAGTCTATGGCAGATGAAGGTTGAAGTCTATTGTTTTTTATACATAGTTGAGGATGTATGTGATTTATCCACAAAATGTTTCCATCACCTTCATTAACCTTGAATTAGAGTTTAATCGTAGGTCCAGGGACCGAAAATGCTAGAGATGTGAAGGAAAGAGATGCGGCGTAGTGTGTGTTTGATGGATGACCGAAGTCTTTGAGCTGTCAACTGTATTATTGAATCACATTCATCGATGAGCTTCGACATATACATTCAGTTTTATCATCTAACGGTTATCCAGAAAACTTCACCAATTGTCACAGTAAGGATAGGTCACATCTAGAAAAGACAGCTTCTGTACCAAAGAGGGCTATCTTAATTAACCTACCATTCAAGAGTGATCGAATTATGCAGTTGACAGATCAAAGACTGCGGTCAGCCATCAAGTCTCTCTGTCTGTTTTCAACATAGAAGTTTGCACATATGTGCGGCAGTTCAAGACGCTACACCTTACTCCATGTAGCACACAAAGCAAGAGAAGAAAGTAGGAGAAATGCATATTAGAGACAGTAAACAGAGGTGTGAGACAAAGGAATAGTAATAACGAAGAACAAAACAGTTTCATTGGAAATCATAAGTCACAAGGAGTGAATGCATCTGCGCCATTGAGAACGATTTTTAGCCATGTCACCAATTGTTTCCAACCATTGGTATTTACCGTCCTGAGGACCCCAACCAGGAAGTCTACATCTTCCTACGTGGCTTAAGCTAACTGTTGTGGATTTCATTGACTGGTGCCATGTTTTCGTTTGACCGCTGCTAGATCTTTTCCAACCTGACCCTAGAACAGCTAACATTGCCTGTCTGTCGAGGAAGGCGATGACTAGGCATATGTAACACATGTCCTAACCACCTCAGTCGATGTAATTTCACAGTCTCATCGACTAATTGCCCCTCCTTACCTAGCACTCGATGCCTAACCTCAGTATTGCTCACCTTATTATACCACTTCACGCGGGTGATAGAACGCAGACACCTATGGTCGAAGACAGCTAATCTTTTCATGTCTTCTGCTCTCAATGGCCACGTCTCACAGCCATAAAGGAGGACGGAGCGGACTGCTGAGCATCAGACATCAAGTATACATTCTACGCTACATCTCTTTCTCTCACATCCCCAACATTTTCGAACTTGGTACCTACGATTAAAGGACGAAATTCTACGCACTTTACTTCAAACTGTATCTACAAGTTCACCTACAGTTGCCATGACATCTATTTAGGCAGAACCACCAGAATGCTCCAATGTTGTCGAAAACAACATGTTCCAAAATGGTTATTAAAACATATAAAAAATCCCAATGCAATTAATCCATTGCAACGCACTTATTAATGTCAAGTCACAAAATCAAAATTAATGACTGCTTCACAATTGTTTTACCATATAACTGTTATTCAAGGTTGGTTATTAAAGGTGAAAAAAGTACTCCGGATTAATCACATACATCCTCAACTATGTATAAAAAAACAATAGACTTCAACCTTCATCTGCCATAGACTACTTGACCTAATTAAATATGATTAGTTATTAGTATGTATGTACTTTTGTTTTTCATATAACTGAGTAATTGTCATGCATTTTATTTTATTATTATTGTGAACCATGTCAGTTGTAAAGCGGTAGTAAAGAAACTACGAAATGAAGATATCATCTCACGAATTTTTTTCTTCTCAATGCCTTATTCAAGCTTAGGCTCTTATATTCTGAATAACTGCATATTTTTATGTACATTCATTTGACAATATTTAACAACGAACTATCACTTCATATTAAGTTGTACCCCAAAACACTTTCGCAGTGCGTCGGTGGCATAGTGGTTAGGACGTTCGCCGACCATGCACATGGTCCGGGATTCGATCCCCGGCCGACGCACCCCTTTACCTCGCTAAGCCAGAAATAATGCTGGTGAAGAGGAAAGGTTGGTCATGAGGCTAGCAACCCCATCCTGTAAAATAAACACTGCTACAGAAACTTCAAACCACTAGCTTGAAGCCCTTTGTTTCACTGGGGAACGTGAAAGAAGAAAAATACACTTTCCGACATAATTTTCACATGCCTTTAATGGCTATTTAAATTCCAATAATCATGGATTTATAACAATAGAAACTGAAGAAGAATTTATCGCATAAAATCACTTTCTTCGCATTACACTATGACAATTTTTAATTAAATATTTAAACAGTGAAAAACACACCTAAATCATTGAACACAACAATAATATTCTCCATTAAATCTACACAGGTTCTCAAAATACTTGCATGCAGAGAAACATGGACCCGATTTTACTGGGATAAGCTGCATATTTTAGGCAAATGAAACAATAAAAATAACAGGGAATTTCGAGAAGCCTGAAATGCTGGAGAATCTATATTCAACAGACACAACGACATAGATAAGATTTATTATTCAGTGTAGGTTTCCAGGGGTCTCATTGGTTGAAGCCTGATCAGGAGTTCATAAAAGTTACAGAACAAATGGAAAACCATAAAAGGAGTACTGGAAAGCTGTCTCGTCCTAGATTTTGGCACCCTCTTCAGCAGAACACACCCAGTGGGGTTTTGAATCTAGGCCCTTCCGTTCACTAGGCGAGATCCTAGACCATTAAGCCACTGGGATCGGTTGCAAATGTCCATGAATTCCAACTTCTACCAAAATACCATATATGGAGCCATAGCTGGCCAATCTCAGTGACGAACAACTGTGCTCTTATCTGACTTAGTGAACCTCAATGGTCACGAATTCCCTTCAGAACCGCTGGGAGATTTCTGTATGGATCCAGTCACTACTGAATATCAGAATAATTCTCAAATGTTTGTTTGCAGGTTTGTAATTGCTAGTTAGGTTTTGCCAACGGCAAAACGACTGAAGAGTCTCAAACTCGGACGAAACAACTGTCCAGAAGTAGGAATTCCTAGATCAGATTCACGAAACAATGAAAGGGAAGTCACATGAACAAATGTTCAACTTTCAGGTCAATAAGACTATCAATAACAGAACAAGTGCATTACAGGTTGAGAAAATAATATACAAAAAGAAACCAATCAAGTTGAAGCCTATCAGGAGACATGAATAAAAAAATGGAGGAGAAATCTAGAATCCACTATACGCCATAACATGCTAAGATCTGACTGTGTTGTCTAGTCAGGGAATGAAAGCCTCACAAATAAATCATTCACAGCTTAGACAATATAACTACACAAAAATCATTCAACAGAACTATAAATCTACTCCATTAAATCTAAACGGGTACTCAATGAACTCGGACTCTTGGTACTCAAACGCAACGGTCGCAAGATAAATATCTCTACCTGACAGAAAACACCACATCTCTACTAACAGTTTACACTTACATGGAGGATTTCATCATAAGCTGACATCAGTTAGAGAACCACTGGAAAACCTGGGAGTACTGGACAGCTGTTTCGTCTTAGTTTGGGGCTCTTCATCAGTACGCTGATGCTCACTAGTGACTGGCTCTATTCAGGCTGTTAACCTGGGGTTCTAGTGGGAAGCCGTGACCAGTAGGGTACAGCAGGTTGAAGATGAGGCAGTAACTCATCGAAGAAGACATTGCGAAATGGTCGCACTATGTCGTGAAATGGCAGAAGTTAGAATTCAAGGACCATTGGATTGGGTCCAGTGGCTCAATGGTCTACGAGCTAGCTGGCCTTGTAACTGGAAGGTCCTGGGTTCGAAGCGTGGCGGTGGGTGCTAACTGAT